ACACTGCAAGAAAAAAAAAATCAACTCATATTGTAATTGATAAGCAATCCTTCTGATGAGGGCAACTATTCCGCAAAAATACGAAGTAAATGCAGGCTTTATAGCTATTAAGCAGTTAATGCACTTCTGAAGAGGGAGACAGTAGTGCACAAACTCAAGAGTTTGTATTTTTTCACCAAAGAGTGTGGGTTCTTCCAGGCTTGTGAGACAGCAGATTAAATAAACCAAAGTGTAAGGGAAAAAAATCAGTTTGAAAGAATAACATTATTGCAGCTGTTTGCAAATCCTCTAGCAGTCAAAGGTCCAAAACCAGCAAATGAAAATATATAACATTCTCACCTGCATATTTCATGTTTACTGAGCAAAAAGTTTTCTACATTCTCATGCCATTGTTTAGCTTTAAACCACAAACCAGACTGAGGTATTGAAATATTTATAAAATGTTTCCAGAATTTTAATTTATTTTAAAATTATTTTTTATATGTAGTAAAGCAAGATAAAATATTCCAGTATTCCAGTTGTGCTGTGTCTTGAAAAATCCAAGAGGTAAAGTTTAGGGAGCCATTCACTTTGTCAGGCTCAGGTGTAATAAGTATCACTTTCGGTATCCATTTAAATCTTCAATTGAAAATGCTTCATAAATTTAGTGACCATGCACAACACACTTCGGTTTTGGGGATTTAAAGAAATTCTAAAGGTTGAAAGTTAAAAAAAAATATTATATGTACCTTCTCTGCAATGGTTTTGCCCCTGATCCTATTATTTTTGGGTCCCCTGCCAGCAATCCTGGCTTTTCCCCCTTACCAAGTCCCCAATAGCAAGTAACTTGCTATGGGGGCACTTGAGCCAGCTCACTCTCGAGCCACGCTCCAGTGAATGGACATTGTCCATTCACACACTGAATGTAGCTCAGCCCCACCCACCACTCTCTCCTTATTGGCTCACTGTCTCTGATAGACAGCAGCAGAAGCCAATGGCTGCTGTGTGAGCCATGGCAGGGACCCAGGAGAGCCACTGCTCTCATGCACATCACTGGATCGAGGTGGGGCTCAATTAAGTATAAGGGGGGCTGAGAGGGGAGCTGCACCCAGAAGGCTTTCTACCTTAATGCATAGAATGCATTAAGGTAAAAACCTTCTGCCTTTAGAACCATGTTAAATAGATACTGAATGTGATGCATGTGAGCCTGATGAAGAGTACGGTGCTCAAACTGTAGCTCTAGATAACTGTGTTTTACTATTTACGGTATCCTGTGCTTCGAATTTATGGTTGTTTGGATGTTGACTGAGGAATTGGGATTGATCCTTTCACATACATCCATACCTTTCAGATCATTTGCTACAACAAAGGTACTTAGTTGATCTTACAAGAAATTTTTTTTATAAGAGCTTGCTCTTTTCCGCATCGCTTCACTAAGCTATGGCAACCAATCAAAATTCACTCTGCTGACGTTATACTAGATTAAGATGGATAGACAGAGGTCAGTTTCTGTGAAACACAAAAATATAGGCAACTGATGTTAGTGATACTAAAGCTAGCAATTTTTTTTATTTTAATGCATTCCTTGCATTAAGTTAAAAAAAAAACTATTTCCATTCATCTGTCTTCCCCCTTCCCTGTTTGAAGGGGAAGAGAGGGGAGAATAGATCCAGCTCTGTGCACAGCTGTATCTCTTCTCCTTGGCTCCTGCTGCTGTCTATCAAATGCAGTGAGGAAGAAGTAGAAAACATGGCTCCATAGACACACAGCTCGGGAAGAGCAGGCACTGTGTGCCCCCATAGCAACAGCTTGCTATGGGGACACATGAAGAAGAAGAGGAGCCAAGATCACCACCAGGGGACCCGAGAAGAGGAGGATTGAGGCCACTCTGTGCAATACCACTGCACAGAGCAGATGAGTATGACATGTTTGTTATTTTATTTTTTAAAAATGTGAATGTTGGCTTCACTGTCCAGTAATGACAATCAAGTACTGAAAGGGGCTGAAATCAAATGAAGTAGGAAGTTGCATGTAATTATAGCTGCATATTTATTTATTTAATTTATTTCAGGTACTTATATAGCACCATCAATTTATGCACTTTACATATATATTGTACATTTACATCAGTCCCTAACCGTCAAGGGGTGCACATTCTAAGGTTCCTAACTCACATTCATACATTCATATACAAGGGCCAATTTAGACAGGATTCAATTTACCTACCAGCATGTCTTTGGAGTGTGGTAGGAAACCAGAGTACCCGGAGGAAACCCACGCAGTCACAGAGAGTACATACAAACTCCCTGCAGGTGGTGCCGTGGTTGGGATTTGAACCAACGACCCTAGTACTGCCAGGAGGAAGTGCTAACCATTTAGCCACTGTGATGCCCATATAACTTTGGATCTACAGATCATATTTTCACATGTGGTTTTTACTAAAGTTGACCTCTGCTTGTGCATTTTTTTTCATTTTATACTCTATTTTAGTTTTGTAGATTTGTGACAGGGATATACTTCAAGAAAGGAACTTCTTTGTTGAATAAGACTCTGCATCGGACTTTGCGAATAAAGAAGAAGGATAATGGTTAGCAAGAGGAAAAGTAAATGAAGTATAATGAAAATACAAGAATAGACATAAAGATGAGGAAGGGAGATAGGAGAAAAAGGTTAACAAAAGAAAAGGGTGTATGTGGTGGAGGGGGGGGGGGGGGGTCATTTTAGCTAATATTTGGTGATTAGGGCAGCTCCTCCCTAGATTCACTACCCAGAACTAGTTATTACTTGGCTGAATGTAAATAGTTTGTCAACAATTGTTTTAAAAGCAGGGGTGCTCAACCTGTGGCCCTCGTAACCCTCTGATGTGGCTCTTGACCTCAAACTGAATGCAGGAGTTTTGGTGCGCTTTCAGAAGGTGCACTACACCCGCAAGATAAGATAGACGTCTATGGCAAAATACAGGAAAGATGCAGGTGTACTGTGCCACACCAGCATTGCAGGTAAACTGCAGCACATCAGTGTCAGACTCATTTAAATTTGTGGTATGGGAGGGGCGGTAAAAACCCTATAGTTTAGACATTTACCACACACCCAAACGAATGATGTTGCCTCAGGGGTTGCAATGATGATCACGCATCTGTGCTCCAGAGAGGGTCTGTATGGCCTCCCTGTTGCATTCTGTTTTACACTTGGACAGGAGGGGCGACGGGGGCAGCATATACAGGAACATAGAATGCATGAAGGTAAAAAAAAAACCTTGAGGTTTAACAACCACTTTAAGTGGCCCTTGCTCTTCAAAAGGTTGAGCATCCCTGTTTTAAACAGTCTTTGGACAAATAACCCAGACCTTTATATAGCTACTATTTATTTAATAAAAATCACTACATAGCCACACTACTTGAACGACCTCTAATGAATATAAGTAATAATATTTTAGTCTGTTAAACATGTCAGTATGCATACAAATCAAATGAAATCTTGCCATGAATGTCATAATCTAAATTAGATAAATCCTTAAATTTTTATGGAATGATCAGAAAGTACCATTGTAGTAATTGCCTACTTCCCTTGGTACACAAGGCATTAATAAACACAGATTGTGTTGAGGTTTATCGAGTTCTATTTGAGAGTCAGCACATCTCCTGTTTTTCTTCTCATATTTTGCTAATTGCATTCTGCTACATTTTGACAAAATCTGCCTCACATCATTGATTTGGATGAGTGTACTAAGAAAGAGAACTTAGAAGGAATTTAATGTTACAACACTTGTTTTTTTTTTTTTTCTTTCATTTGTCTATTTACATATTTGTAAGAGGCAATCAGAACTTGGCATTTCCAGCAGAATTAAATTGCCCAGTTGGAGAGTGATCATGGCAGCCCCATGTCAGTTGAGGCTAAGCTTTTAAAAAAATGATAAAAAAAGTGGAACTTCAGACAGATTTAACAAAACAGCCTTTGTTATGTGTTAATTCCAAAATCAGTAAATGTATTTTTAAATACTGCCAGTACAATAAAAAGAATCTGTTTTTCTGTTTCCTTCCCGTAATCCCCTTGGCACCAGAAATCTAACTGAGAGCAAGAGGTTATGCACTGTGAGCCAAACAGGCTCTGCTGCATCACACATATTATTCTAACATATTTATGCAATGGGAGCTGGAAGGGGAGGTGTCTAGGCAGCTAACAGGAAGAGGAGATAGTGGACTGCGCTATCACAGCTGTTAAACAGAATCACAAATGCTTAACCTGTTCCCGCTGATGTGGCACATACAGTGTTCAGCATAAATGAGTACACCCAACAGATTTGTCAGAAAACCTTTACTTTCTTTTCACAATCAACATTTTCTATGGGACACTATACTACAAAATACTCCAACAAATGTGGGCCATTGATTTGCAAACAAATTCATTCAAGACCATGTTGCAAAAATTAGTACACCCCAATGAAAATCTTAGGAGCAAAGTTAAATTTTAGACAGCAAAATCCTAATTAACAAGAATTCAACTACAGGCAAGTCTAATTATTCATTGAACAGGTGTCCAGTAGACAGTTGATTATAAAAGGGTGTTACTTAACAAAGAAAACCCCTTCCCATTTCATGCTGTCAGCAATGGGACCACATGGAAAAGAAATGTAACAAGGTCTGAGAAAATAATTTCTTTACACAAGAAAGGTTAAGGCTACAAGATCAATCAGCAAAGCTTTACTTATATGTCAGAATACTATAGCAAAAGTGATACAAATATTTAACAAAGATGGAACTGCAACCATCTCACAGCGACGTCCAGACCGTCCATGGAAGTTAACAGCTCGACAGGAGCGTCTTCTGATGAGAAGGGTTGAAGAATATTGCCATGCAAGTTCACTGCAGTTAGCTAATGAAGTAGAAAGCCAAACTGGGGTGATTGTTTCCTGTGACACAATACAGCATACACTGCAGAGGTATGGCATGCACTGGTGTTGTCCATGAAGGAAGCCTCTCCTAAAGCACATATTCAAAAAAGCCCGCCTAAAATTTGCCAGGGCTCATGCTAAAAAAGAAGACTACTGGGACTCTGTACTCTGGAGTGATGAGACCAAGATAAATGTTTTTAGAACTGATGTCTTCAAAACTGTATGGCGTCACAATGGGGAGGAGTACAAAGAAAAATGCATGGTGCCTACAGTGAAACATGATAGTGTCCTTCTGTGGGGCTGCATGAGTGCTACTGGTGCATTTCATTGATGGTATCATGAATTCACAGATGCACTTCTCTGCATTGAAAGAGAAGATGCTACCATCACTCCGTGCCCTTGGTCGGCATGTACTTTTCCAACATGTCAATAATCCAAAACACATCTAAGGCTACTATTGCATTTCTGAAGAACAGGGTGAAAGTGATTCAGTGGCCAAGTATGTCCCCTGATCTGAACCCAATCGGACACCTATGGGGAATTCTGAAGAGAAGTTGAGCATCACTCTCCATCCAGCTTCTAAAAGAGGTCGTTCTTGAAGAATGGAAAAAGATAGATGTTGCTATATGTCACCAACTTGCTCATTCCATGCCTAGAAGACTTAGCACTTTCCTTAAAAATCTTGGACGTCATACAAAATACTAGATGTAGTAGTTTTTGTTGTGGGGTGTATTCATTTTTGCCTCAACTAGTTTGAGTAAAACAGAATATTTTGTAATCTAAATTATATTATTACCCTTGCATGTAATGAGCTAAACAAATGTTCTATAAAACTCAGTTTTGTCAAAAGTTTTGGAAACTGTTTTTGTGTTCATTGGGATATTGATTAAAATCTTACTTTTCAAAAGGAGTGTACTCATTTATGCTGAGCACTGTAGATGTGGCCTCTTGGCGGATGGGCTTTAACTCAGAGCAGCCGCATATATGCGTCCATTTGTAAACAATTTACTGTGCTGCGCTTCCAGCACAGCACGGATATCTAACAAATAGCTTCAAATGCATACTTGTCAGCCAATCACAGCGGTCAAATGATCGGATTGCCAGCCTCTTGCCTCCCAGCATTTTGATCCAGGTATAGGGTCGGGAGGTGGCAGGAAAGTGTTTCAAATCAGTAATTCATATATATGAATTTGATCTGTGTATCTAGCTGTTTAACTTAAGTTACACTTTATGGGTATATTTTCTACAAAAATGTATTTCCTTACCTACAAATTTCATTTGCACGAATTTGAACAATTAAAGTGCCACCGTGTTGTTGTTATAGAATAGTGCATATAAACAAATTTGATTTTGGGTTTTATCATCTAAAACCCTGGTCACACTGGGTGCGACTTGGCATGCAATTTGCCATGCGACTTGCAAATTGAATGGCAAGTCACACCCTATTGCCCACAATTACAATGGTCATATCGGTGCGATTCCGACTTGGTCGAAGCTGCACCGACTTCAAAAGTAGTACATGCACTACTTTAGATGCAACGTACATAGACATCTGTGTCTTGCAAGCCACAGATGTCTTGCAAGTTGCACCTCAAGTAATGCATGCAGTACTTTAGAAATTGGTGCAGCTACGACCAAGTCCGCAAGGCCCGCTTATCATGTCTGAACCATCAGCCCATGTAAAAATCATTGGCTCATACTATATCCATAATTATTTATTATTATTTATTATAGGTACTTATATAGCGCCGTCAATTTACACAGCACTTTACATATATATTGTACATTCACATCAGTCCCTAACCCTCAAGGGGTGTACAATCTAAAGTCCCTAACTTACATTCATACACATACTAGGGACAATTTAGACAGGATATAATTAACCTACCAGCATGTCTTTGGAGTGTGAAGGAAACTGGAGCACCCGGAGGAAACCCACGCAGGCACAGGGAGAACATGCAAACTCCAGGCAGGTGGTGCCGTGGTTGGGATTCGAACCAATGACCCTAGTACTGCCAGGCGGAAGTGCTAACCATTTAGCCATTGTGCTGCCATAAGATAACTTTGTTATAGAATCCCTTACAGTAAAGGTGCTAGCATCTTGTGAAGTCTAAATTTAAGATTTTGAAAACATCTAGGTATTTAAAATTGGTTTAAAAGCTACAGTAATTTTGTTGTGTTCTGTACTATGTAATATCTGTAATATTTTATGCTTAGGTATTATAGTACAACTAAAGGCTCCTGTATGGCAAACAAAAAAACAAAACCCAATTTCAGTTACTATGTGATGCACAAGCCCCATAAAGTAAATACAAAGCTTCCTTTATCTTCTCAGGCGTAACAAAATCCATCTTTATTTGCTCCCCTTCCCAGACACTGCAGCGCACAGTAGGAGGGTTTCAGCAACAGAGGCAGGGATGTCTAACCAGAAAGCAGGGGGCAGGGCTGGGTGTGGCCAGGTGCAGACTAACAAGCTGCAGGCTTGTGAGTCAGCAGTGACCGTAATGATGGCTATGCCCCCTCAACATTTTTTTCATTCCATGGTGGTGCCAGTGGGTACAGCCTACAGAGTGACAGCTCTGCTCTGAATTCAGAAGCAGTGCAGCATTGTTGCTGTATTATCACAGGAAGCTGCATTATGTTGACTTCAGGATCAACAGGTATTTGTGGGACTGCAGATACACTTATAAATAAGTGCTGCAGTACATTTTTTTTGTAATGGGGGCTATAGTTTCAGTTTAACTCTTTTGCTGTCATCAACGTAAAGCATACGGAGGCGCAGAACTGCTTTCAGCTGTTTCTCCCCCAGCCTGTGTGGCTGTAGGCTGTGTCCTTTGTGTTCTCCTCAATCCAAAGATTTGTAAAAAAGGAAAAAGAAAAAAAAAAAAGCATAAATAAGACCTCATTCACACAAAGGGAGTATATCTGCACCTGGGAGTGACAAGTGTTTACAAACAGTTGCGAGCAGCAGCCTGTACAAATCAACGACAGGCTGACAGATTCCCTAACCGTATGTATGTAACCACAAATGCAAGCTGGGCTGCTTATACATCCCTATAAGCATGTAACCACTGAGATTTGTAGTTATATGTGTACTGTTGTCTGTCATTGATTTATACAAGTTGGTGCCCAATGTGAATGTACATTATATATTAAAGCGCTGCATACATTGATGGCGCTATAGAAGTACCTGTAATAAATAGTAATAATGCACTGTGCCTATGTTAGTGTACTGCAGGGCACCTGTACACTGAGGGCCCATTCACATCAGTCAATATGCATTATGGTGCACAATACATATGTGCACTGGTATGCATTGTGCACAAGTGCTGAAGTACTTGATTTTGGTTCTTTTTTTACATTTTTTTTTTAACTACATTTATTCAACTCTATGAGGGAGATTTACTAAACCTGGAGTATTCAGAATCTAGTGCAGTTGTGCACTGTTGCCAAAAAAAGCTTCTAACTGCAGCTTGTTCAGTTAGAGCCAGTTCCCACTACATGCGTTTTAGTTGCTTTTTTTCTGCATCCAAAACGCACAAAGTAGGTCATATGGTTGCTAATGGCATAGTTCACATCAGTTCTTGCAGTTCCAGTTGTAGAAAAAAGTAGAACAGGCTTATTTTTTCCTGCACAGAACTGTACTGGAATGTGGTAAAACGCATCAAAAATGCACCGGAATGCACATGTCCCTATTAAAATTGAAGAAAAAGATAGGGGGAAAAAATGCACTGGAATGCATTAAAAATGCACGGGAATGCATCAAAAACGCACCGGACTGTGCCAAAATCGCGTCAATGTACATGCAAAAACGCATCCGGAACACATCTGGACTGCGTTTCTATAGTGTGAACTGGCCCTTAAGCTTTGACAATAAAATCTGGAAGCTGATTGGTTTCTGTGCAAAGCTGCACCATATTGTGCACCTTTTAGTAAGTTTCCCCCCTATGTGCAGCAGCCCATTGCGACACATTGCAATAAAATGTATACCTGTATAATTTTATTTCAGCACACACTAATGCAGCATCCATTAGTTCCAAGGAACAGACATTGGGCATTACTATAATGAAGCCAACCTCCACATTGCTCATTTAGTTCTTTTGCATACTTTTTTATTTTCCCAGTTTGACAACAAGCCACAATTACATTTTACAAGTATGTGTTATTTATTAACTCAGTACAGCTTGAGCTTTTAGCTTTATTAGGAAGTTACTTGAAACTTTGTAAGTTATGTTATGTTTATGAACTCTAATAATGTTTTAGTGTAGTTTTTATTTTATTTTTTTAATTTTGTTAAATATTTGCGCAACTATCACATTTACAAAATAATTAGCACCATCATGTTAGTCTACCAGTCCTGTGTTTTCAGAAAATGTATGGTTTGGGAGGTATTTTAAAAACTGCTAAAAAAAAAAATGCATAATGGTCTTGTCACTTGAGATAAAAAGTGGAGTGCATGGCCTGGCAGTGAAAGGTTTAATACTCCTATGATTGCCAACCTTATATCACATAGCACTGTTAGATACATATCCCTCAAGCTATGATCAAATAATATAAGGCTGTATCAAGGTGATCAATGTAATCACACGGGCTTCTGACATTGCATATTATTAGTATAGATTATGCTCCTTTTAAACATTATAGCTCAACCTCAGCATTACTGCATTTTTCTGTACAACTTTACCCAATAGACCACATTCACAATAAATCAGTACATGTCTGCTCCAATTAATTCCACTGTGTACCGGTAAAAGTGCTGGCAGAGCTGGATTATTTATATAATTCTTACCATCTGTAGTCACTTTGCTGCCAAGGGGTAATAGAAATAGATATTTATTACAGTGACATGCACAATGTTGTTAAGTAAATGTAGAGGTTATCTCATCAAGTTTTTGAATACTCAGCCTTGCAAATCATTTAAAGGAGTATGCAAGTGTGCAGAACACTCTGTTTTTAGAAATATGATATTTAATGTTACCCCCGCTGGACCTTTAGAGAAGCGATTATACTTTCAGCATGTTAGCACTATGCATCATCTGGTCATCTATTTGGAATGGCCTTCCTGCTATTTATGTCCACGAGTGTAGATAACTGATGTATGTTTAACGTAAGTTTCCTCAACTTTGAGAACCAGATACATTCTGTTCTGTGAACTTTGGAGGGACCCTGGATAAACAACTGTATGAAATTGCAACTTTTCACATTTATTTATGAGAAGCTGTCACTGAAACGTAAATAGTATTTGTTTGGTTTTTTTTAAAACTGTAGCCTTCTATAGTGTGCTGTCTGAAAGAAAATGCCTGCATAATCTAGAAGATAGGATACTGTGATTACATAAATCACAGGCACACTGGGAACACTTTACAAGATGGGACATATGGATCCTTGAATCCTGACTGGTTAGAAAACCACAGAGCAATTATCTGCTTGTGTAACATTTATAACAAGCTTGCCTAAGGAAAACCTCAT